CTTTTAGGCATGGAGACATGAAGACAGAACTCCTTAAACAATATAATGGATTTTCTAGCCAGCTACTTCTTCCTGGTTGTCTTTCTTTATTATTATTGTTGTCTCTACCTGTGCAATAAAGAGGGTTTTCCTCAGTTAAAGGCATTTCAGACACAGACTGGTGAGGAAGAAGTTTTTAAGCAGAAGACTCTTCCCACTTTGCTGAAATCTTGCCTGGCCCTTCTGAGGAAGAAAAAAGACACTTTGAAAGATTCTCCACTCACTGATTCAGTTTTTTGCTAGCTCTAGAGTTAGCAAATCAAGTGAGTGATTTAAAGAGTGTAGCTGGGTACAAGGGCTCACGCTTATAATCCCAGCACTTTGGGAGGCTGAGGCAAGAGGATCACTTGAGGCCAGGAGTTCAAGTCCAGACCGGGCTACATAGAGAGACCCTGTCTCTACAAAAAAATTTTTAAAAAATTAGCCAGGCATGGTGGCATACTCCTGCAATCAACTGAGCCCAGGAGTTCGAGGCTACAGTGAACTATAATTGTCCAACTGCACTCCAACCTGGGTGACAGAGCTAGACCCTGTCTCTAAAAAAAAAAAAAAAAAAAAGACACATCCTCAAGAAACTCATTGGTCTTGTTTCAGGCAGTAAGGAAACAAAACAGGTCATCTTGCTTAAATGTCTGTTGTCCCTGTGAAAATCACACAACTACCAGGAAGAAATTAGTTTTTGACTCTATGTCAGTCTTGATCATCTATAAATGATCCTTAGGTCTGTGCCATTAATTAATAGAAATTAATCTTTCTTGGTTTTTATTTTAATCTTTCAAGTTTTTATTTTGAACATCAATAATTCATCACTTGCATCTATTATAATGTTTCATACCCTCTCCTGTAGGAAAAAAAAAACAACAACACAATAATGTAGGTGCACAGAAACAGAACTGAAAAGCTAAAAGGAAGGGAGAAAAGACACGAGTAACGAATGGAGTTAAGAGAGGGGCTCTGTGCTGGGGCGGGAGGGGCCCACGCATCACGCTTTATGTGCTGCAGAGCCCTGGTCACGCATGGCACTAGCTGGTGAGAGCCGTAGATCATCACCTCACCTCGTTAAGTCAAAGGCTTCGATTTCTGCTTCCACAAGTTGCCTTTTTGTTCACTCTATAAAATGATCAACCCTTGCCTTCAGGGTTTCTGCTGAGGAGTTGAGGTGACAATATTTCAACAGAATTGATGCCATATGGAAAACCCCAAGTTAGCTTTTGTACGAGTGCAAAACAAAATATTCAAAAGGGATGAGAAGCTTGCTCTCGTGGTGGGAGCACAGGCTTTGGTGTTCAGCAGTCCCTGGCTGGAATCTCATCTGCTAATTAGAAGCTGCAGAGACCTGGTCAAGTCTGAACCCTGATGAGCTTCCATCTCCTCAACTGTAAACGAGACAAATAACACTGAACTTGCTTAGTTGTTACAAGGATTAAATGACACAAATGGAAAATGTATAGCATCTATAGCACATAGATGTTAAATGAGAACAGACGTGTTATTAAAAACATCATTTATCACTCTCTTACTGCCTGCTGGCACTGTACAGAAAGCCTTATCGGGAGATGATGTTGTTAAAACCATCTGAAAAGCGGAGGCCCGGAGAGATTAATAGTCTTCCCACAGCCAGCAGTATCAGAGCCAAGATTTGGACAGAGGTCTGACTCCAGATGCCCTAGCTCAAAACCATTTGCCTCTACAGCCTCCCCTGAGAAAGCCAGCCACCCACCCACCTGCAGGGTGCTTGATTAATAGACTGCTCTGGAAGAGATGAGCCTTCGAAATCGTTGGTATTGGTAGACTGGAGTCACTGAGGCATTCTTGGGTGGAGGAATGCTATTTACACATGCAGAGATAGGGAGGGAGGCTGGTGGGGGAGAAGGCACTCAGAGCTGGTGTTGCTTGAATAGCTCAAAAGCAGAAACATTTAGGAGGATATCCAACGAGGAGAAAAGAATCACATGCCTGATCAACTCCAAACTTTTTATTGAAAAAAACAAAAGTCAGTCTTTTATTAATGACCCATTATTTCATCTACTCACAAAGTAGATGCCTAAAATGTCTCAGCCCAATATCTTTTTGACTGTTCTGTCCTACTCTGTGAAGTGCACACGTTTTCAAAAATAAATCCATTTTTCTTTTCTCTTCACTAGCCCACATTTCTGATTTAGCTCTTGGTCCCTACCTCTCACCTCTAGCACCCCCTGTTGATGCAACTGCCCAGAACCACATCTTTTCATAGAACATAAGGCCACAGACTAAGAAATGTGGCCTTTTCCTATTGACAGGTCACAGGGTCTCATGTTTTCTTGTATTTTCACTCATAACTTTTAGAGAAATTACAGCCATAGTCAAACAAAAGGAAAGAAACAAGTGGGAAGTTTTTCAAACTGAAAGAATTATGAACCCAAAATGGATCTTTGGCAGTGAGTTCAGCATTAGAGACTATTAACGTATTTTTCCTTTATGTATGGTAGTTCACTGAGCCCCATGAAGTTTCTAAGGGTTTTGGATTTAGACCATTTTTGTAGAATAAAAACTCCATGGGGTCTTTTTCTTTCTTTTGAGTATGAATGAACAGAAATTTTCCATTTGACTTTTATAATGTTCCAAGATCAAAGAAGTTCACACTGAAAATGAAGCTTCGTAAAAACCACGCACAGTCTGGGTTTAATGTGTGATTCTCCCAATCCAGTGAAGATAGGGTGTTTGGGCACCAAACTTTGCAAACTAGCATTATTACATGGGGGTTACCATGAGTCTGCATTAGTTTCTTCCTGCACTACCTTAATACAAAATGACCGTTGGCAGGATCTTAGTAGTGTTGTTGGGATCACAGCAAGCCACTGACCCAGTAAGTTTCCTCCAAATCATTCCCCTGCAACAGTTCAGAGAAACAAATGCTTGGCAGTGTGAATGCTCCGTGGGTCTGGAAATTTCATAAGTCATAGTTAAAGAATGGTCTAAAATCTACCGGTGCATAATCCAAAGAGTAAATTGTCTGGATCAAGGAATCTTCCTGGCTCTTGGGGGCTTCCTCTCTAATTGCTATAATGAAGAATGTTTCCAGAACTGTCCAGTGATAAAATGAAAATACTATATTTAGTATTGTAAAGATATTTGGAATCCAGATGGATTATCTAGTTATAGACCTCTTATTTTCTTTTTTTATTTCTCTACTCCAAATGTGTATAGGAACCTTTTTTTTTCCTATTCTTTTGTTTAAAGTAAGCCTAGCACTAGAAGACATGCAATAGTCCCAGCTCTCAGGCTGAGGCTGGAGAATTGCTTGAGCCCAGAAGTTCGAGGCCAGCCTGGGCAGCATAGCAAGACCCCATCTCTTGGGGGGGGGAAAGTAGGTTTGGATTTTTTTTTCTACTTTGTTATATTTTTGCAAGAACTACTTATTTCTTTACTTTCTGTGAACATAATTCTGAGGCTTTATACTTCTGGACTAATTCAACTTCAGCATTTTGGTGGCTCATTTACTCTCAGGATTCTTAACAAAGCTGGCTGCAAAGATTTCAAAGAAAATTCAAAACAGAAGCATACTACAAAGAAAGATAATCATCAGGCCCATCCTTGCCCAAGCCTGCATGATCTCTACAAGTCCAGAAGGCCTGCTGCTGGCAGGCCCCGTGCTTAGGACACTGGACTTCTTTCAAGGCTGGCGTCTGCCATGCCTATGGTCTACCCTAGAGGTGTCAGCCCTTGACCGTTGCCTGCAGGGAATGAGAGCCCCCTGGGCACTGTAGGACTCAAATCCTTACCGTGGGGCCCATCGATCTCTGTTTCTAATCTCCGCTCAAAAGCTTTTTCCTCTCCCAGCAGCACTCCAAGACACCTAGCATAATCCATTCAACATAATCTTTTCAGTGCCCTTCAGTTTTATTGGAAACAGAAAGAGCCAATGACTTCTGGTTGCTTCGGTTTTCAGCTCCACAAAAATCCCTGAAGCATGGAATTTTAAAGCTTGACTACTTGCTCTACAGTAGACGGGAAGGGGGAAAAATAGTGTGAGCAAACTCAGTTTAATATTTTTAGAATAGTCTCACCAAAATACATGAATTTTCTTTTCAAACTACAGCTGCTAGGGTGGGAAATATACATATTTGGGTGTATAAATGTAAATTATCTAGCGAGATCCTTAGGAAACTGTCAATGGTAATTGCCTCTGAAGAGTGGGACTGAGAGTCTGGGTGGGATGCAGTTTCTCTTTGTGGTTTGCAACCCTCTGTGGTATTGATTGAGTCTTTTGCATTGGTACATGGTATTTTTATGATGATAAGAAGAAGGTTATTATAATAATTTGAAGAGATACAAATTATTTTTTAATTCATTAGCCATGAAACATTCTCTCAACCAAAGCTTACCTACCATAGATATTGTTGTCTTCATTTGATGGCTCAGAATGCTAAGTTCAGGGGAGTTAATTTACCCAAGATAACAAAATGGCAGAGCAGGATTCGAACCCATAGCCATCTTACACTCAGGTCTGTCTATGCTCTTTCCCCTACTCCGTGCTTTGTCCTCCAGCACCAGTTCATTCCAGTAAGTTCTTTTCTTTCATTGCCCAAGTAATGAGGCCTGGCAAACCCCCTCCATCAGGCCACACATCTATGCCAAATCCTTGAATACCAATAAATACCTAAAACCGTGTTTCAAACTACACCATAAAATGTAAATAAGAATGACACATAGTTCACCTCAAGTTCATACCCAGCAGCAAGGTACAGGGTTAACAGTAAAACACATGGAAGAAGTTTCACATGAAATATTAGGCAAAGCCAGTTCTAAAGGGATGAAATAATCTCAGAAAAACTTAATTGTATGTCTGAATATATCGTGACTATTTTGTTTATGTCAAATAAAATATTATTAGCGAATAGCAAATTATGGGTCGCTGACTATGGTTTGGTTGTTTGCTTAAGGAAACATTTGTGATTGTTGAAAATTAATGTTTTTTAAAGGATGCTATAGTTATACACGAAGTTTATGAAGAAGGAGCAGCAGCCAGAGATGGAAGGCTTTGGGCTGGTGACCAGATACTGGAGGTATGTCATTTTTCATTTTATTTTATATCAGTAAATATGCCGACTCATCCACAAAGTCAATTTGTCTTCTACTCAGCTATACCTTCACGGATTTCTTTCCCATTTAGTAAAACATATATTCTTTTTTTTCAATGGACACTGAACAATTTGCTGGTTTAGAATCATGACAGATTATCAATCTACATTTGTCTGTGAATGCTTCTTTTAATTAAAAGGAAAAATGCAGCTTGTAGTTCTATAATTTTAATATCAAATGGGACTATATATAATACTAAGATTTGATTTTTTTTTGCCTTACTAAATTCCCTCCTAAAACCACTTATGTACAGACACACATACATAAACATATACACCTAATATTTTAAAGACCTTCTTGCAGCTTAAATATTTTCTTAATCCTAAAAAGTCTTTATGTGAAATGGTGGTCCATGCTTTGCCACCAGTGTTTTCAAGTCAATAAAAATGTGGAATCTTCTCCCTTTAGGTGGTATGCATTACTTATTCAAAATTGAAATGCTTAACTTTTTCAAATTGACTCTCATTTAGCAAAGCTGTTAAAGCCTTTGAAAAAGTACCAAAGCAGGCAATGTCTGAGCTCAGGAACGGGTGAATGGGAAGCCAATGCCCTGTGCTCTGGTAGGCAGAACTAAAGAGCTTTCTTGATGGTGTGAAACCTTTAGGCAACATTTATTTATTTCATTACATGAATTTAATTGAATAGTTAGAATTTTATGGTGGGCATACGCATTTTTGCTTTGCAACTTTAATATAGCACATTATGAATGACATCATAGAATTTTATTTATCCCCTTGGTGGTTCATTTCTGCCTCCCAAGATGAAACCAGAGATATAATTAAGGGCAGGAAACATAGGTGAGAAGGGGTTAAAGGAGAGGCCAGGCTGACTGCAAATTAAAATCAGACCAAATTACAGGGTTTCTCTGCAGGCCTTTACCATGCTTCATCATTGGATTAGGACACATTCCCAGTGCGTTCATTAACGTATAAGTGCATGAGGTTAGAAAAATAAGCTAGGCCTCTTTGGGAATTGGCTTGACTGTGTTAGCACAACACAGGTTTTTAGTGGTCAGGAGTTTGGGGTTTTTGTTTTTCCCTCCCTAGATTTTCTAATTAATTAGTATTATCTGAATTGGCTTTTTAAGATGAATAGATTAAATATTAAAAATAATTCAGATGCATATATGCCTTGATTTTTATATTAATTGTAAGTCCACAAAGTACTTTCTAATTTTCACTTGAAACTCAATCTAGTATGTTCATTGTCTTGAGTGTGGTGATGGCTTCACAGGTATAAATACACATATGTTAAAACCTATCAAATTGTACACTTTAAATATGTACAGTTTATCTTATATCAGTTATACCTCAATAAAGATTTGTTTTAAAACTATCTCTATTTTTATCAGATAGAACCTTTATAGCTGCTGTCTTCTATAAAGTCTATTCATGCACAAGTAAACACTCAGGGTGAACATGAAGAAGCAAATTTAAGTGGAAGGAGAATTTAAAAGATCAAGTTAACCACTTCCTGGCATGTGGCAAAATTATATTATCCAAGCAGGATGGACTGACTGTAATTCTCGTGAAAGATGGACACTATAAGCTCCTCTCTCACTTCAGACAGGATCTAGTGCATAAGAGTATAACACGTGGCCAGGCCCGGTGGCTCACGCCTGTAATCCTAGCACTCTGGGAGGCCAAGACGGGTGGATTGCGTCAGGAGTTCAAAACCAGCCTGAGCAAGAGCGAGACCCCGTCTCTACTATAAATAGAAAGAAATTAATTGGCCAACTAATATATATAGAAAAAATTAGCCAAGCATGGTGGCGCATGCCTGTAGTCCCAGCTACTCAGGAGGCTGAGGCAGGAGGATTGCTTGAGCCCAGGAGTTTGAGGTTGCTGTGAGCTAGGCTGATGCCACGGCACTCACTCTAGCCTGGGCAACAAAGCAAGACTCTGTCTCAAAAAAAAACAAAACAATTTTCAAGTCACTTTGGAAATGAAAGAAAAGGAAATAAAAAAAAAAAAACAAGAGTATAACACATGTTCAGCTGAGAAATGCAACTCTTCAGTTTGGTCACATAATGTGTTTCCTTACTAAGCAGCTTTAGGGTCCGCGTCGGGACTGGTTCTAGTTGGGGCTGGTGAGTACAAATGCGTAACGATGCAGAATCAGCCTGTGGCCTGCAGGTTGCCTTGAGAAGACAGGTCAGCTTTGGTGGAATATTTTGAGACTGTGAAGCAAAGCAACCCTACCTCAGTGCTTTTCCAAACGATGGCCTTTCCATTCAGGAAAGTCTTCTGCATTCTACAAGCTGGCCTTCCATGGTTTTCATACTATCCCCATGTTAAAATTAAGACAAACCAGATTTTGCCTCCAAGGATATAGTCTAATAATGTTTGGGCATGGTAAAATAATGTATGATTCTATGATGAGCATGGACTATATCTTCTTTCCAGTTGTCCTTTTAGACCAGTCCCTCCTCTTATCCTACTCAAACTGCCATATCCCATTCTATTTCAATGCAAGTAGGAACAGAAAGAGTAGAGATTGAAAGCCTGGTTTTCCTGGTGGAATAAAATAATGAGGACCTACCGCCCTAGCTCAGTTATCCATTCCTTCTCAAGCCCTGGTTCACCCATCTCCCCACATGGCTGTCCTACCAAGGGGTGCCATACACTCCCCTTAACAGCTGGGGCTTCCTAAGGACCTTCTCCTCAAACAGGGAGCCCTGCTTTTCCACCCTCCTGCTCTCTATTCAGGGTTATAAATAATGCATCCAGTGCTTCTAGAAGGCACTTAATGTAATCCATCACTACACAACATTCTAGCCGCACAGCGATCCTTCTCTCATTGTGGCACATTCAGTGATGTCTTGATAAACAGAGGAGCAGATGGAAACTGTGAACTTAGATCACTTTGATCCGAGCAGACACCTTAATGCTGGAATGTAGTAGAAAGTGCTTTAGTGATATTAGAGCTTAATGACAGTGCTTTTAATTAAAAGTATATTTGTTAAGGCCTTTCAAAAGGTATTTAGAGGCTTAGAAAGTCTACCTTCAATCCATGGAGGCAACCTTTGTTTTTTGTTTTTTTTTTTTTTGAATTGAGCAACAGAAGTGGTCTTGTGTGCCATCTATTGGAATACAGGAAAATAATCAGCTCGGACCACATTTCCTGGAAATATTGCTTTCCCCTTTGTTCTGTGGGTTTAATCCACAAACATTCATAGGCCTAATGTAACAGCGATCATGCCGGGAGGAAAACAGCCCTGGCAGCAGTTACTTCAATTCCTTGTAAAATAGCAATGTCTCACTTATATTGAATATAACTTTGTGCCAAACCCTGTGTCAAATGCTTTATGGGGTTTATTCCATTTAATCTTTACGACACTAAGTATAAATTATTATTGTTATCTCTGACTTACAGATGACATAGCAGAAGCCTGGGTTAAGTAATTTACACAGAGTTTCACATAGCCAGTAAGCTGGAATCAGCACTTGATCTGAAGTCCATCTATATCCAAAACCCATGTTCTTAAGCACTGTTATTCTGGATGTAGTTCACCTACGTGAGTACACAAGCCACCAAGACATGCAAGGAGAAAAGGAGCTTGAAAATTAGGCTTTTAAACATTTTCATAGCTCACAGAATCCACTTTAAACAACAGCTCAGAAGCCACCTTCTCTACGAAGGGTTCATTCTCTTCTCTGTAACTGTTCTTTGTGCCGCGGATGCTTAGTCTTTCAAAGGCTGACATCGGGAAAGCCTTGCACTGACGAAGGAACAGAGGTTCAGAGACTGGCTTGCCCTCCGAAGGCTGGACTAGAAGAAAGAGTGGCACTGACACCACAGGGGTCTCATCGGTACAGCCGTCTGCCTGGCTGTGGCCTCGGCCCATCCTTCCCATTATTTTGGCTCTTTTCTCAGCTGTGACCTTGAGGGAATGACCCCTGACTCCCGTCCAAGGCTACTCTGCTCCTTAATTTTTCCCTGGTAACCAACATCAGAACTTGGCTTTGTGGCAGGGGATCCAGGAGCCCATGCTAAGAGCACATCGTGAGGCAGCGTGGAACAGGGGCTCAGGATAGGAAGATTGTCTGGGTTTAACCCTTGGCTCCTCTACCTGCCCGCTATGTGACCCTGGTCAAGTCCCTTAACCTGGCCATGCCTCAGTTTCCTCATCTATAAATGGTAATAACAACAGTCCCTACTTCGGAGAGTTCACATAGGGATTAAATGAGTAAATAACCCTGTAGAGCCAGCACACAAGCACTACAGAAGTATTGAAGTAAAAAATAAGTTGGCTGTAGTCTCCATTTAACAGAAAGGGAAACAGACGCCCAGAGAGGATGCATGCTTTGCCCGAATTACCTGGCTGGCCAGACTCAGAGCCGTGGCTTTATAGTGCTGTTCCCAGCGCACTGCTGTCTGACGCACGGTCCTGTCTGTGCTCACGGATCCACATTCAAATGAGGAGACTTTAGAGGGTCTTTAACACTGATGGAAATACTGGTCCCTCATTTCCTTCTGGGCCTGTTCTGAAGTAGTTGTGATGAGAGCAGGTAAGAGTGAGGATATCCAATCCAACAGGCAAACCGAGTCTAAAAATGCTGACCAGGCCGGGCACAGTGGCTCACGCCTGTAATCCTAGCACTCTGGGAGGCCAAGAGAGGTGGATTGCTCGAGGTCAGGAGTTCGAAACCAGCCTGAGCAAGGGCGAGACCTCGTCTCTACTATAAATAGAAAGAAATTAATTGGCCAACTAATATATATAGAAAAAAAATTAGCCGGGCATGGTGGCACATGCCTGTAGTCCCAGCTACTCGGGAGGCTGAGGCAGCAGGATTGCTTGAGCCCAGGAGTTTGAGGTTGCTGTGAGCTAGGCTGATGCCACGGCACTCACTCTAGCCTGGGCAACAAAGCAAGACTCTGTCTCAAAAAAATAAAAATAAAAGTGCTGACCAAGCACTACCGTTTCTTCCCCTTTGATGTCACTTCAGTGAGCCAGTTAGCTCCCCGCACGGTCCCTCGCGCACACTTGCTCTCTCCATCGATGCTGTGGTGAAGTTCGTAGCTATGTAAAATTGCATCGTCGTGTGTGCTAATCCACCCTCTGTGCTTCGTGGGGTGAGGGATTGAAAGGGTCACCTCCTTTGTATTTGAAGCAGCTTGTACTTCTAGTGGTCACCCCCTGCATGCGTTAGGAATGGCTGGAAATTTCCGGAGATTCTTTCCTGGTTGGTTCAAGGAGTTCGAGCAGGCAGAGCAGGCAGAGGCCCTGCTGTCAGTAGCCCATCTCGGGTGCCCATTGTTCTAGGTTAATGGGATTGACCTGAGGAGCTCCAGCCACGAAGAAGCCATCACAGCTCTGAGGCAGACCCCCCAGAAGGTGCGGCTGGTGGTGTACAGAGACGAGGCGCACTACAGGGACGAGGAGAACTTGGAGATGTTCCCTGTGGATCTGCAGAAGAAAGCCGGCCGAGGACTGGGTCTCAGCATCGTTGGGAAACGGTAAGACGTGCTGTGCAAGTCAAGGTCTGCCTTTTCCTTCAGAGTTCTGGGGGCGGTGAAAGATAAAGCTAATGTAAACTAGTGATGGGATTGCTAAAACTAAGATATGATGGATATTTGAACAACATATAGTAATATTTCTAAGCAAGGTCTTATAAAAAAAAGTTTGTCATATCATGCTAGAACTCCAAGTGCAATCAACCCAGGCTGTTATAGTTCCTTACAGGGTGAAAATGGCTAGCAAAGTTCTTTCAACTTAGCAGAATTACCTAGTAAGTCTGAGGTTTGCAGAGGTAAAGCAGCCCTACTCAAGAAACAGCTAATATCAAGAGGTAGATTTATACAATGTTGGTTTAAAAAAATTACTCCAACATGTAACACCATGTTAATCTCATACTGTGTTAAAACTAGTTGAGTAGACATAGTTAAGAGATAAACATAAATTCTTCATGACAGTAGTTTTCTATTAAGAAAGATGTCCTGCCAGGCATGGTAGTGTGTGCCTGTTGTCCCTGCTAATTGGTTGGCTGAAGTGGGGAGATCACTTGAGGCCAGGAGTTCTCTATAAGAATAGCCACTGTACTTCGGAAGCCACTGTATACTTCAGAGCCACTGTACTGTGAATAGCCACTGTACTTCAGCCTCCTGGGCAACATAGCAAGACCCCGTCTCTCATGAAAAGAAAAAAAGAAAGATGTCTCAAAAATAGTAGTTTGCACCAAAAATGTAGGTATGTAGATTCCGTGGCTAGGGTGCCCTTTTGAAGTCTGCACTGCTTACCCTGGGATGAGAATTACATCCCATATAATGAGAATTACAGTATTTGTTCCAGGATGATATCAGTACATTTCTCTTGCAGTGAATTGGAAAGGTAAATAATATCTTGAACTGTAAGTCTAGCTTCCATGGCTTACTGGCTTTAGGTATCTAGTATATTTTTATTCCAGCAGATCTGTAGGATTTCCAGGTGATACCCCAATATGGCCAATATGGCCTTAAAGTATATCAACCATTCTCTTAGGAAGAATTCAAGTTGATTTTTTTTTTCAGAACACATACAACATTCATTGATTAAATTTAATGTCTCTTGTTGGTTCAGTTTGTGGCACCCCAAAACAATTACATTAGTAACATTAAAGATTACTGATCACAGATCTCTATAACATATAATAATAACAAAAAAGTTTGAAATAGGCCAGGCCAGGTGGCTCATGCCTGTAATCCTAGCACTCTGGGAGGCCAAGGCAGGAGGATCGTTCAAGGTCAGGAGTTTAAAACCAGCCTGAGCAAGACCAAGACCCTGTCTCTACTAAAAATAAAGAAATTAATTGGTCAACTAAAAAAAAATAAGTAAAAAATTCAGCAGGCATGGTGGGCGCATGCTCTAGTCCCAGCTACACGCTCGGAGGCTGAGGCAGAGGATTGCTTGAGCCCAGGATTGAGGTTGCTGTAGGGTAGGCTGATGCCAAGTACACTCTTATGACCTGGCAACAGAGTAGACCTCTTGTCTCAAAAAAAAGTTTTGATAAACTATAGATGATTATCAAAATGTGACACTGGACACAAAGTGAGCCAGCTGTTGAAAAGGGCTCATAGACCTAGCTCAACAAGGTTTCCACAGACCTCCATTTGTAAAAAACACAGTTACAAGTGCAAATAAAGTGAACATATGGACTATGCCACGTACCCTTTTACACACAGAAAGATTTTACATATGTGACAAGACAAAGGCTTGGTCAGTGTTTTACTGTTATGTTATGTGCCCTCCATAACCTGCTGGTGACTAGCCTAACGTGCTTTTTGTGCAAAGTCCACTGTATTAAAATTCAATCTTAGCCCCGTTTCTGAGTGCTGATTTTAATACCAGCAATTTGCCTGATGTGATCTCATTTTTTCTTTAGCACCATAGAAACACACTCCTAACAAATGAAAAAAAAAAAAGACTGACCTTCTACATTTCTAAAAAAATGATGCACATCTGGTGTCAGAGCAACCACACAGAGCCAATGTCGAAGTTGTTTCTCGCGTTTGGCACATGTGTCCTATGCTGGGTAAGATCATTTAGAGTACGAGTTTTCCTTTATTATCATTTAGTTGATTGATGAAATGGTTTCATATAGAACCAGTATTTCAGGTTACAGTTTGAAAAGACATTTACATCTTAGCACAGAAACTTCCGTTGAAAATCAAAGTAATTGAGCTCTCCAAATTAAAATTCTCTTTTGACTAACAATTCACCACTAGAATTTACTTAAAGATACACGTCAGATTTCACTGCACATTGTTTTGCACAGCTAAAGAATGGAAATACCTATATGTCATCAAAGGTTACGATAAGTGAATCATGGAAATCATATGAATAGTATGTAGCTTGGAAAAAAATGAAGAGCTTCAAGTGCTATGCATGCATGGTGGCCCATGCCTGTAATGCATAGACTCGGGAGGCTGAGCGGGTGGAATCATTTGAATCAGGAGTTTCGAAAGCAGCCTGGACAAGAGCAAGACCCGTCTCCACTAAAAAAGAAATTAGCTTAGCATGGTGGCGCACCTGAACCAGCTACTCGGGAGGCTGAGCTTAAGATCCTGAGCCCAGATTTGAGGTGCTATGAGCAGGCTTGAGCATGCACTCTAAGCCCAGGCAATAGAGTGAGACTGTGCTCAAAAAAAAAAAAAAATAGGCCATCATCAAAGCAGTAAAGAACAAAACTAGAGGAAACAGGTGTCTGTGTGTGTATCCAGTCACAAACACACATATGTGTTACGATGGAAACTTTGGTTGCCATACCCCACTGTTGTATGGTTTTGACAGTAAATGGAAGCGAGTATTTATTTCTGACATTTGAAAGGCGAGCTGCAACTGAGGAAGATGACCAGGGAGAATCAATCTATCTGTAATGGGGAGGACGTAGACGCCTCACAGGAGACATGCCACCATCCTAAGGTGAGTCCAGCTGCTTCCTACACTGGCGCAACTGAAGCCAGTGAGAACTGTTCCCTCTAGCTGGATAAAGGGTTGATTTACCACTCCTAGTGTTCACTAGAAATCTAATCTTTGATTATTTTAAGTGGATCAGGATAGTTTAAAAGAAGCTCTGTATGTTGACTACCAGAATTAAAGGGAACCTGCTTTGAGATTTCCAAGCAGTTTTTCATACTTGTGATAATCCCAAATATCCATGATTGCTCCTACATGCATTTGATGGGATTGGGCTTTCCGAGAAGTTCCCAGGATTCAGTCCCTCCTTCCTCTAGCTTGGTCCAAGGGAAAACATGTACGGTGAATTCATCCCCTCCAGCTTTTATTACTTTGAGGGAATGGTATAGCTTATTTAGACCAATCCTCCATTTAAAAAGATTTAAAAGTAAGAAAGACCGGCGCGGTGGCTCATCCTGTAATCCTACACTCTGGAGGCTGAGATGGGAGGGATTGGCTCGAGGTCAGGAGTTCAACAACCAGCCTGAGCAAGGGCAAGACGTCTTACTAAATAGAAAGAATTAATAGCCAACTAATATTATATAAGAAAAATAGCCGCGCATGGTGGCGCATGCCTTGGCCCAGCTACCTCGGGAGGCGAGGCAGTCGGATCGATACCAGGATATTGAGGTGCTGTGGACTAGGCGACGCCACAGCATTCAATCTAGACTGGCAACAAGCAAACTCCGCTCCAAAAAAAAAGTAGAGAGGCTGGGCGTGGGTCACACCTGAACTCGTTCGGAGGCTGAGTGGGAGGACATTGAGGCCGAAGTTTGAGAACGAGCTGGCCAACACAATGAGACCCTACTCTACAAACATACAAAATAACAAAACCAGGTGCAGTGACGTGCACGCTGCAGTCTAGCTTACTTTGAAGACTGAGAGGAGGATCCTGAGCCCAGGAGTTCCAAGCTGCAGTGAGCTGTGATCACACACTGCACTCTACCTAGGCCGACATACAAGACCCTGTCATCAAAAAAAAATATATAAAATTAAAAGATGCATCCCCAAGATAAAAGCTCGCTTGTGTGGTTTTTTCGACTGCCCAGCTGTTTCTCACTGAAGTTGTAGAGATGTAAGATTCAAAATCACTCCAGGTCTCTGCCCACAATGAACCTTACTTACTGGAAGAAACTGATAATAATTTTTATCAGCTATAAAATCAGGTACACATTTATCTGGTGTATTTAGAAGAGAGCCTCAAAGCTTTTACAAAGCAAATTTTGTTTCATTTAAAAAATTCTGTTTCTGATAAAGTCAGCATATCAGTTTATTACCCAAGAGAAGATCTGTAGTTGTAGGATTATATGCACCATTGATTTTCTGTCCTCTTCACCATTTTTCCTTGATTATTTCGCTGTTCATATACTTTATCAGAGAGAAGAGGGGAATGAAATCATCCTTTTAACACATTTAAAGAAGTCATCGAGATGAATGCTGTTGAGTTTTTACATGATGTTGTTTTTGTTTGGCTGTGGATTACTGACTTCCTTTTGCCTGGTGGCGTTATTAAATTTCATGGCTGCGAATGATGAGGCTCTGCTATGGTGTTTAGAACATACATGCTACTGCTTTCATTTCTATTCTGTTCTTCTGTCCAAGTGTGACAGGGTTTGTGCAGCTAGGATGGAAGACTCCCGAGCGGTTCGTGGACCTCGCAAGGAAGACATCACAGAACAGTAGGTGTGTGTCCGCATACCGACTCATCCTCTGCCCCCACTGGAGAAAGTCCCCATTTCACAAATGATTTGTTTGGAAATAATGCCTCATATGTAGCATATTCACAGCACCAAGATTCATGTATTCATGTGTTTAATAAAAAAGAAAGGTGGATTAAAATTCATTAATCCCTAGATTTTTTCTCTTTGTATGGCCTGAAATGTTTTTCTTAGAACTTTTCCTCTATATGTTTAATGCCTATGCGCACATGTCCAACAGCTGTGTTTATTAAAAAAAAAAAAAAAAAGGCAACATCTGGTGGCAATTTACCCTCAATTAGCACAAATTGCTATTCTTCAATTAAATA